GTCATTGGTAATGACAGTGAATCACATACAGCAAGAACCTTCTAGATCAACATTCAGTACATTTTAAGAGATAATGTTCTTTCTGTGATTTGCTGAAACATTTTTTCTTATATTCTCATATTTTGCACTTGTAGAAAAAATAATATCCTGGAAATGTCATCATCTCATACATTGCCCCAAAACTCTGATTTTTTTACTTTAAATATTGACACATTATATGGCAAATGACATCAGATCATTACTGCTTGCTAATTCATAAAGATTATTAAATATGAAAAATTTAAGTCTCTATACCTAGTGATACTTGATTAATTTTTATATACAGACAAATCATGCTATTGACTAAGCTGAACTGCAGTGTCATGTAGGAAATAAATTTTAGGATTATTTTGGATTTATGAAAATTTTTGAGACAGTGCAGAATGCTCCCATGTGTCCCTGTGGTTAAGTCCACAATGGCTATCAAATTACCAAAGTCCTCGTTCTAGAACTTTTCAGTATTACTCACATGACACGGCCCCAATGCCCCATGCAAAAGTCAGCAACCATAGGATTTGAGAGAGGACAGCTCCCTCAGGGCTACTGTGCTTGCCTGCATGGAAACCCCACGTGTCCCTGGGACACACGGCCAAGGGCACAGGTAGCCGGCAAAGGACAGGGCAGAGCCACAACACAACATATGTAATATGCAACATACCATACATACACACACACACACACACACACACACACATATATGTCTGTGTAATATAAAATATGTGTATATAATATGCAATCATAACATATACAAAAGATACTGTGAAATAAAAGAAATTGTTCAAAAAGAAAAAAAAAATCTAGGATAGGGAAAAAGGAAAGGAAGGAAGGGAAAAGGGAGAAAAAATGCAACTTGGTTATACTATTAGTGTCCCTTAGTTTATAAAAAGGAGGATTTGTGTTAATATCAATGGGAAAAATTTTTAATGCCTATATATTGTACCCTGAATAATTACTTTAAAGATAGTAATATGCAGTGTACTAACTATTGCTATTCTCCTATCTTGCTGTGAAATTTTGTTTGAGCTTTTTTCCATAAAATAAAAAAGAACCACCAAAACAGCTAATGAGAAAAAAAGTATGATTAAGAACGAGCCAAAAGACACATTTCTCAAAAGAAGACATGCAAAAGATTGATGATATATGAAACATGTTGAACTTCACTAATCATGAGGGAAAGTCAAATCCAAGACATTTGAACATCTCCCTCCAATAAGAATGGCTTTATCACAAAGACTGAAGATAAAGACACCTATCAAGGATGTGAAGAAAAGGGAAGCCCTGTGAGTGGGAATATGAATCAGCAGAAGCATTATGGAAATCTACAAGCATAGTAATCAAAAAATTAACAATAGAACCGCTACATGATCTTATGTTTTGTCTTCAAAATACTGATTCAAAGGAAATAAAATCAGTGTGACAAAGAGATTCCATGTACCTTGTGGTGGTAAATTGGAAACACTCAATATGTCCATCTTGAATGGATAAAGGAATATGTGGTGCAAGGGGCATCCATAAAAAATGGAAATTCATTCATTTGGAATAATAAGGCTATGACTGGAAACATTACGCTAAGTAAAGGAGCCAGGTTAGAGAAACAATGAATACTCTCACCCATCTATGGAGGCTAATGAAGATGAAGACATAGAATTTGAAAAGTGGACAGAGTTGGGCTGGAGAGAGAAGGGAAAGGTGAGTAAACTGTTACTGAGCCATTGTGAGAACAGAGAGCTCCTGTGTGCTATTGCAGAATAGGGTGATGATGGATAGCAATCATGTATTATGTTCTTCCAATAGGTAGAACAAAGGAAGAGTTCACTATAAATAATAAATATTTGGAGGAACAGACTTGTCAATCTTGGAATAACTCCATAATATGCATCTCAGAATAACTCCATAATATAGAAAATATTTATACTTTCAATTGTTGGTTAACAATTCATTTCATTTCATTTAAAACTGTAACCATCTTGGTCCCTACAGGCTGCTTAACAGCTTCTTCCCTAAGACTCTGGGAAGAGAAACTGATCTATTCTCAGGGGAAATCTCTGCAGAACACAGCGTCTCTATAATTGTCTACAGATCTCCAGGTAGAAGCCTCTGGGACTGCAACAGGACTCGAGCTCACAGCAGTTCAGAAAGGGCATGTGACTGCCTTTCCTCTTGGACATCACTGGCCCATCTGAGAGGGAGTCACCATCCCCACCTGCAGAAGAACTTCTGACCTGAGGACTGGCTGTGAGCCTGCAGCCATGGTCAGGGAAATCCCCTAAAGGTAGGTTCCTTCATGGACTTTTAAATAAATAATAAACTCTTGGAGAAGTGAGTCAGACACTTTTCATAATTTTTAGACAGGCCTCTATTATGAACAAATACTCACACTATGTTTATGCCATAGATGAGGAGGACGTCGTTCTTGAAGAAATTCGCCATGCTCATTGGTCACAGTCCATGTCAATGTCCCCTATGTCCGATTTTCCCTTCTTGCCTTAGGGACACTGGAAAATATGGTTGCTGTCTGAGACAAGGAGAGCTCCTCTCACAGAACATCAGCAATTTTCAGGAACATTTTTATCATTCCAAAGCATTTCATCCTGCCTCTCATTCCTCAATTAGCAAACTGGTAAGCTTCTATGCCGATAAGCAGTTCAATAAGAAACATAACTTTTGCCAAATCAATGTCCTAACTATACTTATGATAAGTTGCCTAACAATAGAGATGTTGAAATATTTTTTCAATGGTGAGATGAGGTGATCTGAACCTGTGGAATAAATGGCTTTCCTATAGAGACTTCACTGACTCACAAAAGAAATAATGCTTCTTTGCCATATAAATGATAAAAATAAAGATACATAACGCTTTGAATGGTTACTGACACGATCCTTTTCTTTATATATTTGTATCTTATTTGGAGTTTCAAAAACTAAACACATAGAAACATAAGATAAGAATAGTGAATTGATTCTTCTTTAATTTGAAAAATGATGCCTAACTGAATTACACTATACTACAATTATACAATCAGAATTGCTTATTCTTGGAAGTTGAGTTTAACTTTTGGGTCTCATTTCTTTTACATATTACTTATAGAATCTTGCAACACAGCATACATTCTCAGTTCTTCTGTTTACAAATGGCTATGTGAGAACATTTTACGTAACCATCCACACCATTTCTATATAAATTTTTTACCAAATGCATTACAATACAGGCATGTGAAAAGTAACCATGTGTGTAAAGTTGATAAACTTTCGATAATTCATATGCAAATTAGTGTCTTCATGGGGATGTTGGACAGTTGTAGGATGAAAGAGAATTAGAAAAAAGGATGGTAAGATATAAGAATTTGGGATAATAATCTACCAAAGATTGCAAAATAAATAAAGAAATTTTAAATACTGTTATCACACCAAAGGAGATTTTAAAAAGTTTAAGTCCTATGACTGTACGAATTTGCTGTATGACAGCAATGAATGAAGCAGTGCGCTGAGAAACACAGACCTCTCCCCTAACTCGAATGTGGATTTCGAGGAATCAGATTGAACATCAAAGACCCCAGATGTCGCAGCAGCAGCTGCAGTCACACACATGGAACAGAGCAAGACTGAAGCACTGGAAAGAACAGAAAATCACAGAGGCCCTCGTCTGGGGAAAAAGGAAACTGAAGACAGAAACTTCAAGATTTCAAAGTCACCTGCAAACAAAGTCCTGGGTGTCACAGTCCACCTGGGTCAAAATTCTTCAAAACCCTCATGGCACCCTAATACTAACAGCATAGGTGGCATTCATCAGGATGAGCCTGACACCCCCATTTTACCTTCCTTTGGTTATTATTATTCTCACACAAATGCCTAAAAGTCAGCCTCATTGCCGTATGTGTTATGCGGATGGCAATGTCATGCCCCCTGCAGATCCAGGAGGACTACAAATAGCTGGGTACAAATGTACAGTCTCTCAGGAGTCCCTCCAGGGACCCTAAACCCTCTGGTCTGCTGTGCCTCCTACTCTGCCTCCCTCTGAATTCCCCATGCCAGTGAGCGCACTGTACCACCATGATCTCAGGATACCCACAATGCACACGGAGTGGCAGGGAGGGCAGGGGTGAGTCTCAGCCTCACCTGAACCAAAAACTGATGCTCTTAACTATATGCTGGCCAACAAATGGAGATGTGCTGGTGGTAGCAAGTATGAGACAGTACAGAGAGTTTTCCACTTTCATTCACAACTTGTTAACTCGTTGAGACTTTTGATATTGATATGGATAATGATCATTTCATATTACTGCGTAACACATAAATCAGTTCAATATAAAACCACGACACTACGTTTGAAAGAAAGAGGAAACCAAATAATTGTTAATTCAATTTGACTTGAATTCACTTAAATCCTAGACATAGTTACCTTAAAGCATAGGGTGAAGTTTAGCACGGTTACACAGCAGAAACTGCCATTTCTATATAAATGGTAAACTGCCATTTACCTTAACACCTAGGCAAATATCGATGAGTCATTCAAGTCCTTGTGACCCATAACAAACATGAGTGCAGGAAAAACCCACAACGTTGCTGTCAGGAGACAGAGAAAGCACACAGAGGATGTCTCTAGTAGTTGTTGATAGCAGAGCAATTTGGATGTGGCAGTTTTTTCTGTTTTCAGGAGGAAGACATTTTCAAACAGATGCTTACACATCATCATTTTCCAGTTACTAAAATTCAGCTTAAAAGTTTACAATTTTTTAGGTTACATAGATGATCTTTTAAAATTATGGAGTTTGAAAACATGTAACTGTACATGCAATTAATAGAATCAGCTTGGTATTAAAACATACTTTCTCTGGAAAATCTTGAAGCATAAATTCTTATATAGTTATATAATATATATTGTGCTTAAACTTTCTAATTTCAGTTCCGTTTCTTTATCTTTGTCATTACTAAAGAGCATGTAGATGTTCTGGGCAGCACTGATGGAGAACAGGACAGAGGTGACAGAGTTCCTGCTGCTGGGACTGACCTCTGACCCGCACCTGCAGCTTCCCCTCTTCATCACCTTCCTCCTCATCTACACCATCACTGTGGCTGGGAACCTGGGGATGATCCTGCTCATCCTCCTGGACTCCCGTCTGCACAGCCCCATGTACTTTTTCCTGGCAAACCTGTCCTTGGTGGATTTTTGTTCCTCCTCAGTTGTCACTCCCACAGTCATAACTGGGCTACTTACAGGAAACAGGGTCATTTCCTACAATGCCTGTGCTGCTCAGATGTTCCTGTTTGCAACCCTCATTTGTGTGGAAAGCTATCTGTTTACTGCAATGGCCTATGACCGCTATGTCGCAGTGTGCAAACCCCTGCATTACACCACCACCATGACCACAACTGTGTGTGTAGGGCTCATCCTAGGCTGCTATACCTGCTCACTCCTGAATGCCTGCATCCAAATTGGCAACATATTCAGCCTCTCCTTTTGTAGCTCCAATGTGGTGCACCACTTTTTCTGTGATGGTCCACCAGTCATGGCCTTATCCTGTTCTGACAAGCACATTACTGAACTGATTCTTGTCTACCTTGTGAGCTTTCATATCTTTTTTGCCATCTCGGTTATCTCAGCTTCTTACATCCTCATTTTTATCACCATTCTAAGGATGCACTCAGATGCAGGACATCGCAAGGCTCTGTCCACCTGTGCCTCCCACTTCACTGCTGTCTCCATCTTCTACGGGACTTCGATGTTCATGTACCTGCAGCCCACATCCAGTCACTCCATGGACACTGATAAAATCTCCTCTGTGTTCTACACCATGGTCATCCCCATGCTGAACCCCCTGGTCTACAGCCTGAGAAACAAGGAGGTCAAGAGTGCCTTCTTAAAAGTCAAGAGTGCATTCTTTTTTTCGAGGCCCATTATATTGTAGGCTTTTGACTGTAACTTTGTGAAATGAACTATTTCTGAGTTTCTTTCAGGTTTTCTCTTGCTACAGTGTAACCCATTTTTAAGGCCCATGCTGAAATTTAATTACTGACATATACTCTGACTTATGCAAAATGTTTGAACCTGAAAGAAACTACTATGTGCACAAATAAATGCAGAGTGAGGATGCTTAAAATATCCTGATATCTGCTGCCTAAACTATCATTAAAGATATTGATGCAAGCATGCATTCCACAGGGTTCTTTTTCATCTCTCAAGTCAAAACAAATATATGTATGCACACTCAAACCTGCCCATAACTAGAAGAAATAGTCCCGTGAGTCTTATGATGACAAATAGAAATGGATGTGGTTGATTTTATCACACTTGAATGTTATGTGCTATTTATGTGGGTTAATTTTACCTTTTTATTTGGTGTAATAATGAGATAACTTGGGTAGCCTGCAGAAGGATTTTTAACCTTTTCAGTGTTTCTGTGAGTGTTTGCAAAGAGTCTGGAATTTAAAGTACTTGATGAGTGAAGATTATCTGTCCTTTTCATTGTGATCGCAATCTCTCTCCCTCTCTTGTCTCTCTTCCTCTCCTTCTCCCTCTCTCTCAATCTCTTCTTCTCTCTCTCCCTCTCTCTCTCTCTCCTTCTTCCTCTCTCAGTCTCTCTCTCTGTCTCTCTCTCCGTCTGTCTCTGTCTCTGTCTTTCTGTCTGTCCCTATCTGTCTCTCACTGTCTATCTGTCTCTGTCTCTCTCTGTGTCTCTCTCTCTGTCTGTCTGTCTGTCTGTCTGTCTGTCTCTCTCTCTCTCTCTCTGGTTTCTATTGTTATGGCTGCTGAGTAGTTGAAATCTGCTGGTGCCCACCATGTTCATGGTTTCAGAGAGCTGAGGGTTGCTCTCCGCGTAATGGTGTAGGAAGAAAGATGCTTCAGTATCATACAAAAATCTCTGCTGCTACACAGGTCTATCCTCATACTTCATGCTATTGTTTTCATGAAGTGTGTCTCTGCACAATTTTTCTCATTAAATTGGCCTTTTTTAATCTCATGTGTCTGTAAAACTGTACAATAGTTACAAATTTTAAAAAAATAAATGTTCAATTTTATACTTTTCTTGAAAAACAGTTTTAGTTTTGTTTTGTTTTTTTAATCATTGTAAAATAAGTCAGCATCTCCCGAGACCCAGCCATGTTGGAACTTAGGGCTCTGATCAAGAAAGCAACTGTTTTTGTTGTGTCCATGAGTGTTTGCAAAGAGTCTGGTTTGAACAGCAGTTGGTTAGTAAAGATATGTGTCCTCAGCACTGTGATAACAACCTCTCTCTGTCTCTCCCTTTGTCTCTCTCTGTCTTTCTGTCTCTGTCACTGTGTCTGTCTCTGTCTCTCTCTTCTAAGAACATCCCCTTGGTCTTAGAACTCAGTTAATGATTGGGGCCTCTTCTTGGTCTTCCTTCTCCACACTCACACCATGCCCAGCTCCCTCTATCTCAGGCTTTGGTCTCAGACTCAGTGAGGCCCTGGCTAGCCTTGTTCTTAGGAATACAGACAGAACATCACAGAACTATTCAACTTGTCCATCATGTACCATGGTACCCATAATAAATGTCCTCTTACAGGTCTATACCTGTTCTGTTCATTCTGTTTCACCTGAGAACACTAAATAAGTTACTGAATGGCTGTTTAAAAACTGTAATTTGATATATATTTTTGCAATAGATTATAATTTGGGTTCTTATTTGTTTAATTTTTTGATTATATTCTTATAAGCCTAATTTGAAAAACTATGTCATATGTCATGAAATGAAAGAGGTACTCTCCCTAATTTAATGAGTCATGTACAAATTTGGCATCAATGAATTAATATTTATTTTCAGTGTCACCATTCTGTACATTCAATATGATCATATTTTCAAAGGATAAAATAGAACAAGAAAATTCAATAAATATAGCCATTTTAATATGTTCAAATATAATTCATATTAACGATTAATCCTAAAAGCCAATAATAGAGTAGTTTCCTTTCCGCACATCCCTTGCGTAGTATACTTGCCACTTACTTCTCTAAGTTTGGTTGCATTCTCCCTTGCACTGCCCTGCGTTTCCCTGTCTTCTGTTGCACTGGTTTTTTGGCTGTTGTTTCATATCAGCCAAGCTCATGCCGCAGGCCCTTTGTGCTTACTGTTCCCAGGATGGGTGGCCTCTCTCCATTCCAGACTCGGACTCAGGAGACCCCATCATGGAGTCCTTCCCTGTCCTCCTTCACCACTGCTCAGTCTTTGTTCGTGAAGACCAGTGTCCCCTGCTCCCGAGACATTCTCTGCAGTTGTTATCAATCAGCCTTCACTACTACCCATGCTCACATGTTGCTTAGTTACCTTCCCCAAAGAGAATGTGAAGTCTAGGAGAGCAGTGACTTTATCAGTTTCCTCATAACATGATGACAAGCAGCTGAAAACTTCTCTACTGCACTGCAGATTCTGAATAAATATTTGTTGAATGTATGAAAATGTGCTTGTGCTTTTATATTAATTGTGCTGATTCATTGAGCCCTTGAGTCACTGGTGGTGGCAGTGAATCTCACACAGTAAGAATGTTCTAGATCAATATTCAGCACATTTTAAGAGGTAATGTTCTTTTTGTGATTTGCTGAAACATTTTTTCTTACGTTCTCACACTTCTCACTTGTAGACAAAATAATTTCCTGGAAATATCATCATCACATACATCATCACATACATACATCACATACAATCCCAAAGCATTCATTTATTTTTTTACTTTAAATACTGACACACTATATGGCAAATGACATCAGATCATTACTGTTTGCTAATTCTTAAAGATTATTAAATATGAAAAATTTAAGTCTCTATACCTAGTTATACTTAATTAATTTCTATATACAGACAAATCATGCCACTGACTGAGCTGAACTGCAGTGTCATGTAAGAATTAAATTTTAGCTTTATTTTGGGTTTATGAAAATTTTTGAGACAGTGCAGAATGCTCCCATGTGTCCCAGTAATGAGGGCAACGGTGGCCCTCAAATGACCAAAGTCCTCAATCTGAACACTTCAGAATTACTCACATGTGCGGACCCAAGGCCACACATGGATATCAGCAACCACAGGATTTGAGAGAGGACAGTCCCACAGGGTTCCTGCACATGCCACATAGAAACCCCGTGTGTCCCTCGCACACAGGGCCTAGGGCACAGGAAGCTGGTGAATGACTGGGCAGAGCCACAACGTAACATATATAATATACAACATACTATACATATATATATATATATATATATATATATATTATAAAATATACATATGTAATATACAACCATAACATATACAAAATATACTGTGCAAAAAATTGTTCACAAAGAAAAAAGAACTAGGATAGGGAAAAAGGAAAAGAAGGAAGGGAAAAGGGAGAAAAAATGCAACTTAGGTACATTATTAGAATCTCTCAGCTCATAGAAAAGGAGGATTTGTGTTAATATCAATGGGAGAATTTTTTATACCCATATCTTGTACTCTGACTAACTACTTGAAAGACTAGATGTAGTGTATTAACTATTGCTATTCTCCTCTCAACTTGCTATGAAATTTTGTTTGAGCTTTTTTCCATAAAATAAAAAGAATCACCAAAACAGCTAATAAGAAAAACACAAAGTATGATTAAGAATACCAATGAGTCAAAAGACACATTTCTCAAAAGAAGACATGGAAAAGATCAACGATATATGAAAAATGTTGAACTTCATAATCATGAGGGAAAGTCAAATCAAAGACATTTGGAAATCTCACTCCAATAAGAATGGTTTTATCACAAAGATCGAAGATAAAGACACCTATCAAGGATGTGAAGAAAGAGAAGCTCTGCCTTTGGGTGTTAATATGCATCAGCAGAAGCATTATGGAAATCTATAAGCATAGTCCTCAAAAAAAGAAGAATAGAACCATCTACATGATCTTACATCTGTCTTCAAAATTCCAATTCAAAGGAAATGAAATTGGCATGCCAAAGAGATTCCATGAACCTTGCGGTGACAGTTTGGAAACACGCAGTATGTCCAACCTGGATGCATAAAGGTATATGTGGTGCAAGGGGCATCCAAAAATGACAGAAATTCACTTACTCAGGACAGTGCGGCTATAGCTAGAATCATTATGCTACATAAAGGAGCCAGGTTAGAGAAACAATGATTGAATACTCTCACCCATCTATGGAGTCTAATGAGGATGAAGACATAGAATTTGAGAAGTGGACAGAGTTGGGTTAGAGAGAGGGGGGAAGGTGAATGAATTGTTACTGAGTCATTGTGAGGACGGAGAGCTCCTGTGTGCTGTTGCAGAGTAGGATGATGATGGATAGCAATCATGTGTTGTGTTCTTCCAATAGGTAGAACAAAGGAAGAGTTCACTGTAAAGCAGCAATAAATATTTGGAGGAACAGGCTTGTTGATCTTGGAATAACTCCACAACATGCATCTCAGAATAAATCCAGAATACGTAAAATATCTATGTTTTCATTCATCAGTTAAAATTACATTAAATTGTAATCTGTAATCATCTTGGTCCCTACAGGCTGCTTAACTGCTTCTTCCCTAGGACGCAGGAATGAGAAACTGACCTATTCTCAGGAGAAATCTCCAGAGAGCACAGCATCTCCATATTTGTCTCCAGATCTCCAGGTAGAAGCCTCTGGGATCCAGATAAGGCTCAAGGTGACAGCAGTTCAGAAGGGACCCTTTGGCTTGCCTTTGGGACATCACTGACCCATTCAATCAGGAGTCACCGTCCCCACCTGCAGGAGAACTTCTGACCTGAAGACTGGCTGTGAGCCTGCAGCTATGGTCAGGGAAATCCACCAAAAGTAGGTTCCATTCATGGAATTTTATATAAAAAATAAGCTCTCTGAAAGTGAGTCAGATACTTTTCATTATTTGCAGACATGCCTCTGTGAGTGGATATTCACACCATGTTTATGCCATAGATGAGGAGGACGTCATTCTTGAAGCGACTCAACCATGCTCATGGGTCATGGTCCACGTTAATCTTACCTCTCCAGTTTTCCCTCCTTGCCTTAGGGATGCTGGAAAACGTGGCTGCTCTCTGAGACAAGGGGAGCTCCTCTCACAGCAGCAGTGTTCCGGGAACATTTTTATCATTCCAAAACATTCTGTCCTGCCTCTTATTCCTCATTTAGCAAACTGGTAAGCTCCTACACATTAAAACATTTTGGTAAGAAACGTAAAGTCCTAACTATTCTTATGATACACTGTCTAGCAATAGAGATGCTGAAATTTTTTTTTAAAAGGTGAGCTGAGCTGAGCCTCTGGTATAAATGGTTTTCACAGAAACTTCATTGATTTGCAAGAGAAATAATGCTTCTTTTCCATGCATATGAACAAAAATGAAGAGACATAAGGGTTTGAATGGTTACTGACATGATCTTTTTCTTATATTTGTACCTTATATGGAGTTTCAAAAAATAAGAGCACATAAACCAAGAATAGTCAATTGATTCTTCTTTAATTTTAAAAGTTATAACTAACTAAATTATACAATTACTACAATTATACAATCAGAATTGCTTATTCTTGGAAGCTGGCTTTAACTTTTCAATCTCGCTTCTTTTATATATTACTTATAGAATCTTGTTGCATAGCATACGTTCTCAGTTCTTACAAATGGATATGTGAGCCCATTATGCATAACTCATCTACACTTTTTTTATACAAATTTTTCACCAAATGCATTACAATGCAGCTATGTCAAAAGTAACTATGTATGATAAGATTGATAAACTTTCAATAAACCATGTGCAAAGTAGTATCGTCATGGGAATGGTGGACAGATGTTGGATGAAAGAGACTTAGAAAAAAGGATGGTAGGATATAACAATTTGGGGTTGTAACCTACCAAATATTACAAAATAAATGAAGAAATTTTAAATACTGTTAGCTCTCCAGAGGAGATTAAAAAATCTAGTTTCTATGACTCTACAAATTTGCTGTCTGATGACAGCAATGAATGCAGCAGTAAGTTGAAGAACACAGATTTTCCCCAAACTGGAATATGGATTTCAAGGAAGCAGTTTGGACATCAGTGGCCCCAGGTGGCGCTGCAACAGCCTCAGTCACACACATGAAGCAGAGTGAAACTGAAGCACAGAAGAGCACGGAAAATCACAGCGGCCCTCATGTGAGGAAAAGAGAAACTGAGGACAGACACTTCAAGACTTCAAGGTCACCTGCAACTGAATCCCTGGGTGTCACAGTCCACCTGGGTCAAAATTCTTCAAAACCATCATTGCATCCTAATAGTAATGGGATAGCTGGCCCTGTCAGGGTGAGCCTAATACCTTGATTTTACCTTCCTTTGGTTACAATTATTCTCACACGAAAGCCTAAAAGTCAGCCTCATTGCCATGTCTATTATGCAGATGGTAATATCATACCCCCTGCAGATCGTGGAGGACTAACAATAACTAAGTGTTGATGTATGGTCTGACAGGAGTCCCTCCAGGGACCCTAAATCTTCTGGTCTGCTGTACCTGCTGCTCTGCCTCCCTCTGAATTCTCTGAGCCAGTGAGCGCTCTGAACCACCGTGATCTTACCACACCTGCCATACACACTCAGGAGCAGGTAGGACAGGGGTCAGGCTCAGTCTCACCTGAATCAAAAACTGAAGATCTTTAGTATGTCATGGTGAACAAGTGGAGATTCGCTTGCGGTAGCAACTATAAGACAGTGCAGAGAGTTTTACGCTTTCATTCAGAACTTGTTGACTCATTGAAACCTCTGATATTGATACTGATATTGATATTGATATTGATACTAATATTGATATTGATAATGTTCATTCATGCTACTACACAGCATGTAAATCCATTCAATATGAAACCAGGACACCAGGTTTGAAAAAAAGGGGAAACTTAATAATTATAAATTTAATTTGACTTGAATTCACTTAAAACCTGAGACATAGTGAAACCTCAGCATAGGGTGAAGTTTAGCATGGGTCCACAGTAGAGACTGACATTTAACACCTGTATAAGTGTCAGAGTCATTTGAGTTCTAGTGACCCATAATAAATAAGTGTAGCAATAAATAAATAAATAAAAGCCGAAAAGCATTGCTGTCAGGAGACAGAGAAAACACAGAGGATGTCTCTAGTAGTTTTCAATAGCACAGCAACTTGGAAGTGGCAGATTTTACTGCACTCAAAAGGAGGACATTTATTAGTAGATATATGCTCATGTTAAACTTACTAATTCTCAGCTCATAAGTTTACAATTTTTTAGATTACACAGATGATATTTTTTAAATTCTGAAGTTTAAAAACATTTAAATGTACATGCAACTAATAGAATCAGCTTGGTTTTAAAACATACTTTCCTGGAAAATCTTGAAGCATAAATTCTTATATAGTTATATAATATATATTGTGCTTAAACTTTCTAATTTCAGTTTCGTTTCTTTATCTTTGTCATTACTAAAGAGCATGTAGATGTTCTGGGCAGCACTGATGAGGAACAGGTCAGAGGTGACAGAGTTCCTGCTGCTGGGGCTGACCTCTGACCCTCACCTGCAGCTTCCCCTCTTCATCACCTTCCTCCTCATCTACACCATCACTGTGGCTGGGAACCTGGGGATGATCCTGCTCATCCTCCTGGACCCCGTCTGCACAGCCCCATGTACTTTTTCCTGGGAAACCTGTCCCTGGTGGATTTCTGTTCCTCCTCAGTTGTCACTCCCACAGTCATGGCTGAATTCCTCACAGAAAATAAAGTCATTTCCTACAATGCCTGTGCTGCTCAGATGTTCCTGTTTGCAACCCTCATTTGTGTGGAAAGCTATCTGTTTACTGCAATGGCCTATGACCGCTATGTCGCAGTGTGCAAACCCCTGCACTACGCCACCACCATGACCATCAAGGTGTGTACAGGGCTCGTCCTAGGCTGCTATACCTGCTCACTCCTGAATGCTTGCATCCATGTTGGGGACACATTCAGCCTCTCCTTTTGCAGCTCCAATGTGGTGCACCACTTTTTCTGTGATGTTCCACCAGTCATGGCCTTGTCCTGTTCTGACAAGCACATTAGCGAACTGATTCTTGTCTACCTTGTGAGCTTTCATATCTTTTTTGCCATCTCGGTTATCTCAACATCTTACATCTTCATTTTTATCACCATTCTAAGGATGCACTCAGATGCAGGACATCGCAAGGCTCTGTCCACCTGTGCCTCCCACTTCACTGCTGTCTCCATCTTCTACGGGACTTCGATGTTCATGTACCTGCAGCCCACATCCAGTCACTCCATGGACACTGATAAAATCTTATCTGTGTTCTACACTATGGTCATCCCCATGCTGAACCCTGTGGTCTACAGCCTGAGGAACAAGGAGGTCAAGAGTGCCTTCTTAAAAGTCAAGAGTGCATTCTTTTTTTCGAAGCCCATTATATTGTAGGCTTTTGACTGTAACTTTGTGAAATGAACTATTTCTGTGTTTCTTTCAGGTTTTCTCTTTCAGGTTTAACTGTAACACATTTGAGGCTCATGCTCAAATTTAATTACTGACATATACTCTGACTTGTGCAAAAATCTTTGATCCTTAAAGAAACTACTGTTTCCCCAAAAAATGCAGAGTGAGGATGCTTAAAATATCCTGATATCTGCTCCCTAAACTATCCTTAAAGATATTGATGCATGCATGTATTCCACAAGGGTTCTTTTTCATATCTTACATCAAGCAAATATATGTCCAACACTTAAAGCTGTTCATAAATAGAAGAAATATTCTGTGAGTCTCATGATGTCAAGTAGAAATGGGTGTGTTGGTTTCACCACACTTGAATATTATGTGCTATCTATGGCTATTCATTTTATGTTTTTATTTAGCATAATAAAGAGATAACTTGGGTAGCCTGTAAAATTTTTTAACTTTTTAAGTGTGTCTGTCAGTATTTGCAAACAGTCTGGCATTTAAAGCACTTGATGAGTAAAGATTATCTGTCCTCTTCATTGCGATAGCAATCTCTCTCTCTGTCTCTCTGTCTGTGTCTGTGTCTGTGTCTGTGTCTGTGTCTCTGTCTCTATCTCTGTCTCTCTCTGTCTCTGTCTGTCTGTCTGTCTGCCTCTCTCTTTCTCTCTCTCTCTCTCTCTCTCTCTCTCTCTCTCTCTCTCTCTCTCTCTCTGTGTGTGTGTGTGTGTGTGTGTGTGTGTGTGTGTGTGTGTATCTCTGGTTTCTGATATTATGGCTGCTGAGTAGTTCAAATCTGTCTGTGCCCAGCATGTTCATGATCTGGGAAAGCTGAGGACTGATGCCTGCATAATGGTGTAGAAAGAAAGATGTTTCAATATCATACAAAAATCTCTGCTCCTACACAGGTCCATCCTCATACTTCATTCTATTATTTTCATAAAGTGCATCTCTACACAGTATTTCTCATTGAATTGGAATTTTTTATCTCATTCAATTGTGAAACTGTACAAGATAGCATAATAGTTACAAATCTAAAAATAATGTTTAATTTTATACTTTTCTTGAAAGCCAGTTTTAATTTTATTTTTATAACTTAAAATTTTTATTAGTATACCATTGCAGTAGAAAGAGATTGACTCACAGTGGGGAATTGGTACATGGACATCACCCATCTCAATTCTTTTCTTCCCCATATTCTCCATCTTCCCCTTTGTTAAGATACCTTTTTCCAACATCAGATTCATTCATTTATAAGACATTGTCGAGAGATTAACTGTAAGACTAA